TTCCTGTACCAATATACTGACAGGACTGTTATAGCGTAGGATACCACCTGTTATCTTTTTGTAGTTGTTTTACCCACTTAGAATTTTGCTGTTTTTAATTCTGTTTCAAAGACGTTTCGGCACTGGCTTTAACAGTAAATACAATTGTTTGCTGATCAGAGATTATTGTTTTACGGCAGGGAATATTAATTCAAAGGAATTGCCAGGAATATGCGATTTTATCGGCCCATAGGATGGGTGCGATGATAGTAGTCGGCACTATGTAAGAGCAGTGCAGTAATCCATACAGTTGAGGATTTTGGCTAGATAGTGTAAGGTAAACGGTTCATAAATTTTTCCTTTGTTTCTTTTCTGCAGCCAATCTATTGAAAAGACGATATAATTGTCCCCTGTTGTTCTAAGGGTTTCATGTTCGTGTCTCTTAAAGTATACATCCTGGTTTGTATAGTCTTTTGTTATTTTAATAGTATTCGAATTTTTTGAAATTGCTAATTCAAATATGTTATCAGTATTCAGAATTATCAGTCCTCTTCATTTTCATCGTTGGCCTTGTTAGGTCTGAGGAAGTCTTTGGTAAACTCTAATGTTGTTGCCGCACATTGTATTTCAGAATTGAAAATGAATTTCAGAAGTATGAAATCTAGCATAAAATCGTTTATTTTGTGCACAACGCAAAATGTAGTTAATCAGAAGCCTCTTGGATCTAAACTGATGATCAACTGCAGATGACCGGAGCGATCTTTGAACTGTACCTATATATTTACTTTGAAAAAGGGCCGTAGAAGAGTTGCCAAAACGCCGATGTCGGTCACTCCTCCGATTGACACCACCTTTCGCGTTGTGTATAAAACCTGTTATTTTTCAGCATGATTACCAACGCACGAATCTGATGCTCCATTACATTTACTGTAATGTTGTCCTTTTTAGCTGTCGTGGCTTCATTCACGCTTTTTCCAAACCTGTCGAAATCTATTACTGCAGTTGATCTGAAATGTAAAACACCCTGCACTAAGACAAACAAGCATTACTGTAATTCAGCAGCTCAGCCGTTGTTAGATTAACCACTATTTAATCTCTAAAATCGATTGCAGGCCAAATTTTCATCTCAGTGAAATAAATGAGTTCGTCTCTGTCATGGAGTATGGATTTGCCTCGTTTTCACAGAAATAACAACATTAAGCAACCAGCGATAATCTTTCCGAATCCTCTGCCTAATTAGATCAACATCGTTTAGAATAGCTTCATCATAGATCCAATTTCAACAAGTAGGTTCAACTTCAAATACAGCTATCGACGTATCCTGTGAAACTCTATTAGATTCTTCGCCAGCTTCAGGAAACAGCTGAAAGAGACTAAAGTGCCGTAGGATCTGTGGGGGGGGGTGTTTGTTACAAAGCATACTGGCATTACATGCTGTGACCTGATTTTTTCCCCAATGCGATAAGAAGTATTGTGTGCAATGCTTCAAGCTTCATGCCGTCATAAAGATCACAGTTATACTTTTATCGACATAGCGTATTTATCGTTACCTTGTTTGCATCAATTATTTGGCCAAAAATTAGCATTTTTTAAAGATTAAGGCCAATTTAGTTTTCCATATGCTAATGAATATGCATGTAACGTGTGTATATGATTATATCTTGACCTCATAACAGTTATGCCCCTGCAAGCTGGTCCATTCGGTTTCACGATATAGAAGTTTCTTTGTACTTAATTATTTAATCATGGCTGTTTTGTCGGATTAATACTTTGCAGCTATTTTCTACATGCTTGCGTGTTTCAGCCCAGATGTTGTCGCTTTCCGCGTGGCCGAAAAAATTCAGACTGCATTTGCTGATGCATTTTTGCTTATGGTAAGAACTCTGCGCTCATAGCTCGACAAATTAATTACCCGAGTTTCAGTTGGATAACGCGTCGCTGACTTTGCAGTCTGATCAACCAGCTCATCAGGTGTACACATTCGTAGATCAGAAGTGGAAGTTACAAGATTCAAATTCGTAAGTCGAAACCACACTCCTTCACAGCTCTCATGACGCGTTTCTTGTTCCGCTTTAGGTTCGCAATCGAAAATGAGGAAAAGGCATTCTCGCTGATCTCGTCCTGTATTCAGGTGAAACTGCACCGCACGATTGCTGACTTTGAAAATCATCTTGATGACTTGAGTTTCGATTTTTGGAACATGGATTTGACTGAAAAACTGAAATCCTTTAATTAAACTTATTGATCAGTTTTTTTTTCATTTAATCGAAAATAGCACAGTATTCCATTTTGTTCAAGCACCTTCTCTGACAAGAGTGGCATGAAAATTCCAACTCTTCAAGTGACAAGCATAACATGAAAAACATGGGACGAACGAGTGCTTTACTGTACAAATATAAACGTAATCGTGCCAAGATAATTTTTTGCGCATCCCTCTGGTGTTAAGTTCACAATTTACAGCTTTTTCGTAATGAACCGCGTCGATGAGAATCTGGAATCCTTAACTCTGAAACTTTCTGTACATCCCTGGGTTTGTCGTCGTTATTTCAAGCCGAACAGCGCTTGACGACAAAGAGTTCTGAAGTTAACTTAATTGATGATGTTCTGTTTCAAGAAACTGCCTCAGTCTAATACTGCGCCTCACTGACTGCTGTAGCAGCGAATATTTCTCTTCTCATCGTCAGTAAGTACGCGACTATTAAATGTTTCAAGTCGGTGCACGTGAACTACTTCAAATGTGCGTCTCCGGCAAGTACACGCTTTACAGATGAAACAACTTATATTTAGGTTCCGTTCTGCTTAAGAAGTTTTTCAAATCAAGCGAGACGCAGTTCCTAAATTCGCTGAGTATAGTTATACCAAGTCCGTGATTATCAGGATTTGCTAGGTCTTTCAATGCAGGCTTGAGCCGCTGCTGTTTTAGATGTTTAAGAAAGCACCGTTCATTTTTTATAGAGTGGTTCCTTGACATTTTAAAGCTGTGTCTGTGGGTTTAGAGTTTTTGTTCTTGTTGCTTCGAGGCGACCCAATGCCTTCATTGGTTTGACCCCGTCCTCCAGATTTCGAAAAACTATTTTCGGGTTGTCCGTTTTGCTAGCTAATACCTAATCTTAGCGTCAGCGTGACCGTAAGTCATCTCATAACTTGAAGTAGTTGACTGTTTCTCCCTTCATAACACCGTTTAAGTTTTGAGGCATCTTGGACGGGAATTGCTATAGTGCTGAATAGTGACCTTGCATTGTAACCCTATTTCCCAACCGTGTCCATACACTTTGAGGTGGCTCTACTCATTCTGTGCTTTGTTGCTGTTCAGAGTCATCTGCTGAACAGCGAATTTTGGTTACTTAACTGACTATCCAACTTCCGGCTGTAATTTATAATTCCTCAACGCTCATCAAGATTAGAACATTAAAAACAACGTAATACTCTTGTAGTTCGTGCGACGGCCGTTTAACGAGCCAACTATAGCTTTCTGATACCAGTTTTTGTTCTTACCTCATTGCTTTTCATTTAATTTGCGCATCTTTCTTATGCTGAATGTCAAGAATCCTTGGCGTTCTTGCTCCAGCAACAGACTTACAGTTTCAATTACAGCCCCATATCTCGTTAGTTTTGCACTGAAACTAAGATATTTGGCGTTCTTGTTTAAACACTGAAGTTTCAAACTTCAAACAGAATAAAGTGTGCCGTACTTGATGTACAGAATTAAACACACTAACAGCATTTTGCATGTTACTGGCGAATATCACGCCGCCTTTCTAAAGCCGTTCAGTTGCACATGTCATTTAGCCATAGAATGAATTGAAAACTGTTCGGACATCGAGAAACTTCGTACTCCACAGGCTAATATTTGGAAACTCAAACAATGTTCGATGATACATTTCAGCACAAAGCCTTAGAGAGCGCTCGTCGCTATCAGCAACTGGAAAGTACAGTGGAACAACGTGACTTAACGACAGAAGAAGTTGACCATTTCTTGAAGTTGACCATTGACCAGAAGTCTCTTGAAACAGTCGTGACTAATGACAACAGTATTATGCAGTACAACAGTAGTATGCGAAAGTGAACCTGTCCACTGGACCAGCATTAGCGAATTCTGGCAAACTGTAGAAAATATGGAAAGATAAGGTAGATAGTAGCTTTGCACTTTTTAGCGAAGATGATACGATATGTCGTATTATTCCGAGAGGCCAACGTCGAGGGCCGTGTTGCAAAGGCAGGCAAACAGCGATATGCTCGGGCGAAATAGACAGAAGGCGCACAGAATCCAGAGCACAGGCGCATCGGCGAATTTCGCATGAAATATGGTAAGATAGGACCATAAAAGCACAGATGAAAACTACCGTCTTGAAAACAGCCGTATTCGTTGTGCTGTCACGAAGCACTTCCCAACAGCTTTCAAAAACGCTGGCTACAGTGTATCCTCAACGAGCAATGGTACTACCGGGTACGAACAACAGGTGTTGACAATTAGGAGTCTTAAGAAACTGCTAGAACTCAGACATCGGCGCCTTGTTTGGTTTGATAAAAACTTCCAAAAAGAAAATGGGAATGAATGAACTTCATGACACCGTCGCTCTGTTGGGAACAGCGGTGAAGAAGATATGCTAGAAGGAAAAAAGAAAAGGTTTGTAATTACTGGAATATTGGTCTTACATTTTCATGATGGAGCCATTTCTGAAGTTTACAGTCTGCAGAAGCTGCGAAAAACACCATATTTTGTATACTGTACACTTATGTTGCCACCTGCCGTTTAACTTAACTGTGTGGACATAAAATTCTGATATAAAGGCCAGTAGCAATCGGCGACAGTGTCATCGTCGTCTAAGAATATAAGGGCATGAGCAGCAGAATAATTTACTCCTGACATCCGACTATTCAAAATGACATTTAAGAATTGTACCAGTGCAAAAATCAATTCATCTTCGCAAGCATATCTACCCTTAAGTCTGGTTTCAAAATTTTGCAATACCCACAGCCAGTGGTTTTTCGGAGAGGAAGTTTTTAAACAGTTCTTGACTCCCTTTGAACCGTTATGATAAACTAAGCCAAGCGCCGGTGTGTCTGTTTTTTCTCAATCCGCTGGCTATCAATACCCGTTCATTTTCAGCTTGGAACTGGATTGTACCACTGCACTTTAAACACAATTAGCTGATAGTGCTATTGGAAGTTGTCTACGCGTGCTTCACGAGAGCAGATGTTTCTGGACTGTACAAGAACTACGCGAATACAGCTGCTTTCACGATGGTGAACTTCATCGCTATTTTTACAGTCGAATTTTATTATGTTCCATACAGCTTCCTAAGCTAAGATTCACGGATGTCGGTTCAACGTACGGGTTCATTTCAGGACCTATGTCATCGCATTCATAAACTTCATGGATTCGACGATGAATTGGGCGTGCTAAAATTTATTGCCGAGAAGTGGCTATTGTGTGTTTGCTGATATCATCACTAGGAGCCGTTTGCATAAGCAGAACGTCTCTGATTTATGATGTCCGCTGAATCCACAGCTTTTAAAAACTTTTTTTATAAGACACCGGTTAGTGCATGGCAGAAGGAAATATTCCTTTGGGAAAGCTGATCTGCTCTGCCTCCATGCTGACGTCCTAATCATATCTGCCATGTCTGCTCCCACACGTAAGTTCATGAGATGGAGTAAATGATGTAAGCACATCAAATTTGTTTAACAGGGTCAATCTCGTTTTTAATTTTCCACACCGAGGTCATCTGCGCCTGGAAGAGAATAGAATAATTTCTTACTTAAGTGTCATTATGCACCGAAACCAAGTCTGCTGTAAGAAGTTCAACCTTCGCTCTTGCTCCTTCCTTAGAACAACATCTCCAGATCGTACAACACTGACCTGACAGAGGCAAGATACCGGCGAATTTTTGTGGAAACGGTTACTTTCTCGGTTCGAATACTGGACAGGCTTCCAAAAGTACTCGAGGGTAGGCGAACCTCCTATTTAACTCTGGCTAGAGTGCCATCGTTGGAGCCGAGATACTTAAATTAGTCAATCTCATGAAGGGCTTTACCTCACTGTCCCACTTGTAGAACAGCGGTGGCGTGTTAATTCCTCATAACTTTTGACATTTGGACGTTGACGAAGAGGCCAGCTTTCGCAGCTGTGTTGCATGCAAAAGCCGTCAGGTGACAGAACCCGCTGCCCGTACTACTAACCATGAAAATATAATCTGCGTACTCCAGGTCGGAAAAATATCTAGCCGGGTCCTTTAGCTGCGCCTTCCCCCTAAAGTGAGACCTTCGTTTTTGCTAGGGTCAGCACTGATTCGGAGAAGAAAATCGAGAACAATACTGAGTGAAGAAAAGCTGTTGCTTACCAACACGGTAAATGTCTGTTCAATAATACGGTGAGGTATGCGAGCATATACGTTGTAACTTTACGGCCACCAGGAATGACTGCAGCGTCCCTGAAAGAAAACATCGTACATAAAGAAAAGCTTCTAGCGATCTTAGGGGCAACGCATAATTTTAACCTATGTTTAGACTACGCTGATGATCAACCGTCAAGCTTGTTTCGTTTTGCATTGCAGATTTACCGTGACTCTGTTTTCAGCAACTTTCACGGTACTTTTTTCTGATCAGTTATCAGTTACGGCGATGGCGAGAATTTCTCGCTGAACTACTAAACGCTAAAGACAACACCAAATGATTGATAATATCGTTGGAAATTTTACTTTCAAAATACGCCACTCAGTCTTCACAACGAACGAAACAAGGAAAGGCGATTTAACAGAAACAAAAACAAGTAATAATGACATTTTCATAAGTTCGTTACCGAGGATCAACCTCACCGAAAGCACAATATCATATCACAAACGTTTCACAGAATGGAAAAACCAGTCTACTTTCGTAGTCCATCCCCCTTCGTACGCGTCGTTCAGCTGATCAATAAAATACTTCATCGCTTCGTGATCATCTCGATCGACGGCTAAAGTTTTTCTGAGGTAATTAATGTCTTCTAGCTTCTGCAGCTCAGGAATACCCATGCACAGCATCATCGTGAACAAGGTAATAAACAGGCGAGCGTGTCTGTGAACGATCAAGTACGCCTCACCGCAGAGATGTTGAAACTTTTCGAACTCCTTGTTCTTTCTCGTGTTTTCTGCTCCTCGCGCAATGATCTTCAAAAAGTCCTCGGTCAAAACGAACGGCACGCGCTCCCTACTGATTCCTAGTTTTTTTTTGTAATGGCCAAGGAAATGGCCGAAA